AGGTGTTCAGATGTGATGCAGCTGGACTGCCAAGCTGCTCAATGTTGGGCAAAGGAGGCAAGATAAAGGGAGAAATCTGGAAAACAGAGTATCTGTGAGAGGCAACAGGCTAATTAGGAATAAATCATCACCACTGCAAATTCAGACTCTGGTGTTATTACCTGTCCATTTAGGACAATGTGAGCTCTTTTATTCAACTTAGAACAACATGAATCTAAACTAGGGTTGCATTAATTTCCCCAGACACAGTAGAAGATAATTTCTTGAGCACTATATTATAGATAGTGTTAAGATGGTGTCAGCGTGTGGRGGTTCCAGATGGGAGATGGGAATGGGAAGCAGGTTGGTAATGGTTCATGGTGTGTTCTGGCAGTCAGGCTACCTGGCTTGAATTCTGGGTCTGTCTAGGAATACTAGGAATGTATTCTTTTTTTTGAGGGGGYGGGTACTGAGGATTGAACTCATGGGTACTCAACCATTGAGCCACATCCCCAGCCCTATTTTGTATTTTATTTAGAGACAGGGTCTCACTGAGTTGCTTASAGCCTCACAGTTGCTGAGGCTGGCTTTGAACTTGTGATCCTCCTGCCTCAGTCTTYTGAGCCACTGGGATTATAGGTGTGTGCCACCATGCCTGGCTAGGAATATATTCTTGAGCAAGTTACTTCACTTTATGAYGCCTTAGTTTGCTCATCTTAAGGGGGAAATGGTATCAATCTCATAGGATGATTAGAAATATGAAGTTAGCTAAAAAACAATGCATGGCACAGGTAGTGCTTAATACTGGCCATTTCTGAATTGTTTTATCGTCATGGGTATTGTTTTAAGAAACAGGTTCTGGTGTGTTGTTATATAACTATAACTTTTGAAAAAAATGTAACTCACCATATTTGGAGTTCACCTTTGATGATGTTAAAATGCCATTTCTAATAATAGCAGTAATGGAGACTGGATCCATAATAAACTAGTACAGTATAAATTTTGACATGAAAGAAATAAACCTCTAATAAAGAAAAATGTTTATAACCAAGGAAAAAATTTTGAAGACTGGCATAAAAACAGCAAATAAAAAAAATATGATTTTCAGATTTCACCAAAGCAAGTTGGCTGAAGAGTGAAGAATTTGAGTTTTGATTTAAGTGCATATAGATCTGATAGCAGTACTCATGYAGCTCTGGTACTAGGTACTAGACATGCAAAGATGAATGAGCCACCATCCTCAAAAGGGAGTAAACAACCAGTAAGCACAATATGAAAACATCTGTGAAAGGAGTAAATTGGGGCATCATAAGGGCACTTAACCCTGACTTTTATTTTTGTTTATTTGAGAGATTTTTGTTTATTTGTTTTTGGTCCTAGGGCTTCCCACATGCTAGGCAAGAGCTCTCCCACTGAGCTACATACCAGCCCTTTTTCTTTTTATTCTGAAACAGGGTCTCACTAAGTTGCTCAGGCTAGCCTGRAACTTGCTATCCTTCTGCCTCAGCCTCAAAGTCGCTGGGGATGGCAAAACGATTTTTTTGAGCAAGAAATATCAAGATGCTTCAAGGAAAAAGAATCATCTAAGATGAGGCTGGGAGGATAGGATGTGGGAGGTGGGAGAAAGGCACTCTTGCTGGTCAAAACTGAAATCAAAYGATGCATGAAGACCTAAAGGGTTGGAAAACACACCTGTATAGGCCTCCAAGTAACTGATAATGGCTTGAGAGTAGTTTGCCAGGGTGAGCAGGGTTCTATAGTGAGGGACTTTAATTTGTCCCTATCTGTCTTGGAAGAATGTCGATTAATGGATCATATAAATATTACTTTGTTAGCAATGTGAAAAAAAATCAGTTCAATGAAAGGTGACAAGATAGGTAAAGAGAAACTCTTGCAGCCATTCAGATGAGAAATCCTGGGAGCTTGAATAAGAAGTAAAGGAATAGAGCATTTCAGCTGTGGAAACAGAACTTGTTTGCTGGATATGTGAAAATATGATAAATCAAAAGTGACCACACTCAAGCTTTGCTGTGTTAGATGCAATGGTGTGACTCATTTCAAGAGGACCCGTGTGGGGGAGGCAATGAATATATAGGCTTGGCAGCTAGAGACCAAGGATAGAAWCAGGGGCCTGGAAGGCTGTTGGTTATCACCAGTAATGAAGTCAGGAGAGGGGTCCTGCAGAATGAAGAAACAGGAGATCCTCAAACAGCAGAGGAAAAACTGAAACTCAGGGTGGTGTATTCTCTAGGAAGCCAAGGAGGGGTAYGTAGCCGGGGAGGAAGAGAAGAGAGAAGAGAGAGACCGATCATTCTAGAGCAGAAGACAGGGCTGAAGTCATGGGGGGACCCAAATCTCTAGTATCATCCAAAGGGTAATGAAACTCATGAGGAAAAGACTGTTAGTATGAACTTAATGAGGGAGAGGCCAGTTAACGACTTTGAAAGTGATTAACAGTGATTTTTGTGGGCCTAGAAATGAGTGGGAAATGAGGAATAAAATTTAGAACAGAAGATATAGAAGTCACAGCCTGCATTTTGAGGAAGCAAAGACAGTTTAAAAACTGCTTGTGAGAACAGTAGGAGAAGACACAGATGGTCAGGTTTCATTGCAGTTCCATTTGTGGTGAGATACCAGGAAATTCTGGTGGTATCTGGGTGGTGGTGTGAACGTTCGCATACGTCAGAGTTCATTTTTGCAAGCATGTATAAGTGTGGAGAAGGTGAACAGTTCAGTGGATCTAGTATAGAGAACTAATTCACTTTATACTGAAACTCACCTGGGATAGCCTATCATATTATATAATGGCATCTATTACAGTTCAGCATTGCCACTTAAATTTAATAACATTGTAAACTATCTAGGAAAAAATTAATCAAGATACTGTAGCTGGGAATGGTTAGCTTGAAAATCTCAATAGGAAAAAATATTAATGTTCTGAGCAAGAGAACAAATTCAATTAAACAATAGTGTGGTATTAGACTTAATTATTACAGTGTATAAAGCTTGGAATGTACTGGTTACCAAACTAAAAATTTTGATTCTGCACACTGTTGAAAGCATATCTTTCTTTTTTTTAAGAGAAAGAGAGAGAGAGAGAGAGAGAGAGAGAGAGAGAGAGAGAGAGAGAGAGAGAGGAGAGAGAGAGAGAGAGAGAGAAAATTTTTTCATACTTATTTTTCAGTTTTCGGTGGACACAACATCTTTATTTTATGTGGTGCTGAGGATCAAACCCAGCGCCCCGCGCATGCCAGGCGAGCGCGTTACCGCTTGAACCTCATCCTCAGCCCAAGCATATCTTTCTTGATGCATGTTAGGGAGAAGGAAACTTCATGACAGTTGAATAGACTAGACCATCTAATTGACATATCTTATAAAGCACCACATTGAAAGTCAAGTTAAGAATCCTCTGTTTTTAAACCAGTTACTAAAATTGAATGCATAAAGCAAAGGATACTTGTATAATTTTGTAAATGGCATGCTGTTACTTGATTTCTGTCCTGGTGGTTCTAAATTCTAAAATGGTGTTAATCATCTGTATCTAGGACMGAATCAGGGAGTGTTTCTAGCCCCGCCCCTTTTCTCCTATTGTAAAATGAAAATTTGTGGCTCCGGATATTCAGTAAATTTACTATTAGTAATAAAATTCAACTCTCTCTTGTGTCTTTTTAAATGATGCTTTTCATTACTAAGATTTTTTGGTTTGCTTTTTGCTATTGTTTTAGGCAGTTGATGGAGGAATGTTCAGATATTAAAACCAGGGTGGTGGCCCCTAGGTGGATTGCAGAACACAATGTAAATATTATGTTGGACTAGGTGTATATAGAGAGAATTTTAGAATATGACATGAGAGGAACATTTCTATCATTTAGAATTTTCTTGACCTGTCTTTGCATCTCAAGTATGAGTGAGATCCAAGGAATAAGAAAGACAAGGCTCCTCTGGGTCAAAACAGACCTGTCTTCTTAGATCCGTAACTCACAGGAGAAGCTTTTGCATTCTTTGAACAAGTTCAGCCTCCACTTATTGTCTCCTTCATCGTATCTTTTGTAACTGTTGCTAGGTTTATAAATGCTCAGATAGGTCAAGGAAGATGAATAGGTGGAGTGTCTGTGTTCAAAGCAAAAGACAAAAAGGAAAGTAGAATGTTCTAGAAGGACAGCAGTGTTCTCTCCTTGTGAGATGGGTAGGATACACAGCACCACAGCTACCTCGGGCTCCCAAGGGAGTGTGTGGTGCAGTGATTGATGAAGGAAGATTTAATAGTGTTCAGTACTCAAGAGAGCAAGACGGGAGCAGTTTATGAAATGCCACCCAAAGTGGTAACCTTTTATCTTTACATGGCATTTGTTTACCTATTAGAAGTTCATGAAGCACATGGAGTGAAGTTATATATTTTGAAATACTTTGGTCCTATTTATGTTGAACTATGAAAATCTACAATGCTTATTTAATAATCACCTCTTACCACAGCATTTCTTGAGCCCACACTGGGGACAGAGTATAGCAGGAAAAGAAGACATGGTTCCTGACCTCTGGAGACATGCCTTCTAAGGAAAGATCGAGCCTGAAATGACAAGCTGTCATAAATTACTGTTTCAGATTATGGAAGCGTAATCTAAGCAGAGTGCTGTGCACTAGAGATGACTTCTTAGGGGAAAGGTTAATTTTGAAATGAGTTTGCAAGAAAATGGGGAAAGAAACACACACACACACACACACACACACACACACACACATCTTTTTTTTTAAGACCAAAAACATTGATAGTATCTCTTCAGTGTGAGGTTGAGTACAAATTTGGTTTATTCTGAAGTAAGCCAAAAGCTAATTGAATGTTATGCAAAATAAGGGGCATCTTCCATGAGCAGCACTTCTTGAGTAAAGCATTCAACAGTCATTTGGAATCTTTCCAAGGACCTTTCCATTTTCTGTGTGCTCCTTGTTGCCAAACCACAGTCTCTGGCTGGTGAAAGTTGAATTGCTGCTTCATCTTCATGTTCTTCTTCCATTATCCCTAGAGGCCTGTGTACTGCCACCACCATTTCAAGCTTTGGAGCTCGTTGGCAAACCTAAACCCTATTATGAGGTTGGAGAAGAAGTAACTTATAGGTGTAAAAAAGGATATGACCAAGTATTGGGGTTTCTCACAATTGCTACTTGTGAGCCAAATCATACCTGGGTGCCTATTTCAGATGATGCCTGTATGAGTAAGTAAATACAACCTTATCTTTTTGCTTGCTCTAGAGATTTCCCCACATTTTAGGGAGCATATGCCACGATTGCAATGATGATTTTCTCACATGAAACAAGACGTTGAATTAAGTGTGGTTTTGCAGGATTTGAGAAATTTTTAGGGAGTCTTTTTCTTGGTTGCCTGTGTAACTGTGAATCTTACATTGCCCTTGTGATACAGTAGTTAAAGAAAATAATATTCCATAAATTCAAAGAGCAAAGCTGAGTTTTGACTTTGATTCAAGTATGTTTTGAAACTGAATTTTAAAATTTCACCATTATTTTCTTTTAGAAAGAAGATGTCCATATTTAGGTGCTCCTAAATTTGGCAAAGCCGATTACCCAAATGGAACTCACCAGTGGGGTGCTCAAGTTCATTTTTCTTGTTCTAGTGGGTAAGTTGCTCCTTACAGGAAATAAGGTCAATGTTACGGGTGCTTTTTGTTTTTCTTCTCTTCTTAAGCATTCACATAAACTTTGTTTAATTTTGCTTTCTGGGTGAAGTTCTACTTCTAGCCAAACAGTCCTTGGGTACTTTATTAGAGACAGGAAATATGTGTAATAAATAAAATGAAGTTGAAGGAAAACAAAGCTGTATACTATTTGCCATACTTAATAGTAAGTCTATATAAATGTGAGGAATAGCATGCTCACAGTGGCATGGTTCTTCACAACTAAGTGCTTGAAAAAGCTGAAGTAGCGCTCCCAGAAATGGGAGGTAGATTAGCCAACCAAAGACATTCCTCTGTYCAGAGATCTTTGTAAGGTGTTAATCAGATCAAAATTGACCTGGTCAAGATGGTTCGGATGGAAAACCTTATTTTTGAGACTGCTACAAAGAACTGAAGTATCCCAGCAGCTGGAGCTGGAACTCAGTGGTAGAGCACTTGCCTAGCATGCATGAGGCACTGGGTTCGATCCTCAGCACCACATACAAATAAATAAAATAAAGGCACTATGTCCATCCACACTAACACACACACACACACACACACACACACACACACACATATATTTTTTTTAAAAAAAGTAAGAATTAAAGCATCTCAGAAGGAGACACTGGCCACTCAATAATAGCCTTTTTTCTTAAGGCTCTTTCTAGTGATGTAAGTTGGGGATATTGGGCATTTATGAAAAAATGTGCATTTAGAGATTCAGTGTAATACACTACATTTATTAAAAATAAGTAATTCTTGTGGGGAAAGTGAGCTATGACTATCAACGAGCAGTTTCGCTATTTTTTAAATTTGATCAATAAAAATATTGGCCTATTCAGTTGATAGTTACGTTTAGTGAGCTTGCTCCGCACTTTTGAGAAAACTGAAGCACAGGCCCTAACCAATGAAGTCGTATTCTTATAAAGAAGCACAATATATAAAGTTATGAAAGCAAAATAGTAAATGAGCAGTACCATGTAAGTAGAGTAATGCATAATGACAGTGAGAATCCAGGAGGAAGAGAGATGCCTGTGAATCTCAATCATCAGAGAAGATTTCATTGAGTAGGAGTCTTCTAGAGCTATTCCTAGAAATACATTCTGATCTGAATATTAATAACAGCTAACACTCAGCTAGCACTTACTGTGTGCCAGGTACTAACTCATCTGATTCTTTAAGCAAAACCTTTGGGGCGTGTACTTGGATGCTCTTTTAACTAATGAGGAAACTGAACAAGAGAAACTATAAGTGGCTTGCCCAAAGCTCAAGTGGCTGGTCAGCCATGGAGCAGGGACGGAAACCCAGGTGGTTCAGTTCTAGGAAGGCTCTTTTCCTTGAGCACTGGCCTCACTAAGCAGAATGTGTGAGTAAAGGCATAAGAATCAATGTGTAATGTGACCACACCGAGAGATTCACAACAACAGATTTATTTAGAYGATGTTGCTGTTGGACAATGCGTGTTCACGGGGAGAAACTCTTCATTTGGTTAAATTGCAGATTTATTTAGCACTTTGGTGTATCTTTCCCTCATACTACTTCAGTGTAAGAAAACAACTATCTAGAAGTTGCCTTCATTATTATGTGCATCTTGTTGACTGCCAAAGAAAACATTAACTTTTTCTTTTCTCATTTAGTTATTACATAATTGGTAAAGCAATCATAAATTGTGTGCTTAAGGGAGAAAACCCACACTGGGATGGTAAAGTCCCACAATGTGAAAGTAAGTAAAAAAWTTTTTTTTWAATTTAGATTGGCARTTCTCAAACATTTTGGTCTTGGACACATTTATGCCTTTAGATGAATGTGTAGCCCAAAGAGATTTTCTTGATGTGGGATATACATCCTATTAATATTGATCATGATGGAATGAAAATGGAGAAGCTTTAAAAATTCTTATTTACTAACCCATTTTAAGGACAATAAACTTGATACATGTAACATTTTTAGTGAAAATTTTCCAAAACAAAAGAATAGTAGAATAGTGACATTGCTTTGCATTTTTACAAGTCTCTTCCTTTATCTGGCTTAAAGGAAGACATTTGGAGTTGGTCTGTCGTGTTACCAAGCTTCATAGCCTCTGCAAAAAAACTACTGTGAGGAGGAGAGTGAAAAACTGAAAATGTGTGGGTATTATTGCAAACCACCAATTTAGAGAATGAACATGTTTATAAAGCATTTCTCAATTAGCCCTCAGTTTTATTTTTATTTTCTCAACACATTGTCGGCCTCTCTTAAGATGACTAGGACAAAACTTAGTGTGGCCTTGCAAATATTTGTAGTATTCTGTAACTTAAAATGAGTTTTGTTCTGGAAGTTCTTTCTATGTTAATGGCTTGAACCTGGGATAACGCATCTTCTCAAAGAAACCCTCTTCTAGATGAATATTCAATTCACAACTAGCTTTATAGAAATCCTATACTGGGGGGAGAAAAAGAAATTCCATGTTGATGAATTTATTGAAGGTAATTCATAGAGCTTTACTAATGTTGTCTTAATTTTTCAATTTTCCTTTTACCTTTCATTTCTTCTTCTTCTTTTTTTAWCCCCCTTTATGAAGAGATTTTGTGTGAACCACCTCCAAAAATCAAAGATGGGAAATACTCCTTTAGTGACATAGAAGTATTTGAGTATATGGAAGCAGTAACTTACAGTTGTAATAAAAAACCTGCAGGAGAAGAACTTTCACTTGTGGGAGAAAAAGAGCTTTACTGTGCTGGCAACGGAGTATGGAGTAGCAGTCCTCCTCAGTGTAAAGGTAATGATCTATCCTGCTTCATTGTCATTCCTGTAGAAATATTTTATAAATAGTTTTAACTACATATAACAAAACAGGCACATGYGTGCCTTCCTCTAGAAAAATTGGTTTCTAATTTAATGTAGGTCAGGTGGAGCCTAAAAAATAACTCTAGATCTAGAGATTCCTATCCCTTATCCCAGCATATTCTTTCACTCCGTTTTATACATTGTGAATGACTCTGTGTGTGTCTGTGAGTGTGTGCGCACTTCCGTGTATGTGTGTATGAATTAGTATGTTTTTGTTTGAAAGAACAAAAAATTTCAACAAACTGAACACAAGAAAATAAGAAAGTGTTACACTGCAAGAAATTTAAGAGTTCTAGCTACAGGTAATGGCAGTACAAAGAAGACTGTAATAGAGTAACCCTCTCACAGATAAGAATGATAAACTCTGGGGGCTGGGATTGTGGSTCAGTGGTAGAGCGCTYGCCTCACATGTGAGAGACCCTGGGTTCGATCCTCAGCACATAAAATAAATAAAGAAAATAAAGATATTGTGTCYATGTATAATTAAAATTTTTTTAAAAAAAGAATGATAAACTCTGGACAAAATGTATTTTTAAAAATCTTCAAATATTCCAAGTCACTGGAAAGTGACTATAAGCATGGAGATATTGGAGGGGATTCACCCTTTAAAAGACAGGAACCACTGGCTATCAGCAGCAAAATATGTACTCTTTTCAAGTGCACATACAACATCTCTAAGATAGAACACAGTGTAGGCAATAAGACAATTTTTAGCAAATATCAAAAAAACTGACATCATTCAACTCTGATCACAATGGAATGAAAGTAGAAATCAGTAACAAAGACATCAAGGAAATGCCCAAATAATTGAAAATGTTGCAAGACACTTCTAAAAACTTAGGAGTAAAAGAAGTCAGGAGGAAAATTAGAAAGTGTTTTGGATTGAATAAAATGAAAACATAGCATATGAGAATAGCAAAATTTGTGAGATTTGGCTAAAGCACTGCTTAGAAGGAAATTTATAGCATGAAATCCTTCTTTTAGAAAAAAAGGAAAAGCCCCAAATCAGTCATCTAGCCTGTAATCCCAGCTACTCAGGAGGTAGGAGGATCCCAAGTTTGAGGCCAGTCAGCAACTGAGCAAGACCTTGTCTCAAAATGAAAAATAAAAAAGGGCCAAAGATGTGGCTTAGCAGTAAGGTGCCCTGTGTTCAATTCCCAGTAGCAAAAAAAAAAAAAAAAAAAAAAAAAACCACTCAAATTACTGATATCAAGAATGAAAAAAGGAATATCATTAAATATCCTGCAGGTATAAGGGAACATTACACTGTCTCTTTTCAAACTTTATGCCCTTAAATGTAATATTTTAAATCAGCAAATATTTTGAAAGATATGAAATACCAAAACTCACCCTAAAATGGACATAAACCTGAATCGTCATATCTCTATTAAAGGAATACAATTTATAAAGTTAATGGCCTTTCCATAAAGAGAACTGCTTCACTGCAGAATTCTACCAAACATTTAAGGGACATATAACTGACACTACATAAGATTTGCAAGAACATACGAGAGACGGAAGCACTTCTCAATCCATTTTATGAGGACAGCACTGCTCTGATACCAAAACTGGACAAAGATATTACTAGAAAAGTATAAACAATTTTCTTAATTAATATAAAGCTAAAAATCCTCCACAAAATATTAGCAAATGAAATCCTATGATATGTAAAAGGAAAAGTATATCATAACCAAGTAAGATTTTATTTCATGGATGCAAGGTTCATTTGGTATAAAAATTAATGAGTGTAATTTGCCATTATCAGTAAACTCAAAAGAAGAAAAAAGTCATATCTTCTTAGATGCCAAAAAAATTGTTTGACCAAATCCATCAATTTTTCATGATAAAACTTCTCTGCAAATTAGGAATAGAAGATAAYTGTCTCTTTTCAAAAGATAAGAGGCATCTATAAAATCCCCATGACTAATATTATACTCAATGGTAAAAGAGTCTTTTTTTTTTCTAATTAAGGAAGGAACTAATTAAGGCGGAAGCAAAGCAGAAAATGTTCRCTCTCATCAATCTATTCAGCATTGTGCTGGAGCTCCTATGTAGTACAATAAGGCAAGAGAAATAGACATGCATATTGAAAAGGCAGAAGTAAAGTTGCCCATATTCACAATGAGATACCATCAAACACCTATTAGAATGGTTGAATTTAAACACACACACACACATACACACACACACACACACACACCTGACAATACCAGGTGTTGGCAAAGATATGGTGCAGTTGGAAATCTCATATGTTGTTGGTAAGAATGCAAAGAAAAACCACCACTTTAGAACACATTTGGTAATTTTTTATAAACATTCAACTCAGCTACCCACCTGACCTGGAAAACTGCTCATCCAGAAACTTATGTGAAGATTTTCATAGCAGCCTTATTCAAAATCATCCCAAACTGGAAACAACCCACATATTCTTCACCCAGTGCATCAGTGGACGTCTTGTGCTAAATTGAAGCAATGGAGTAATAAATATCCAGATATAAAAAGGAGTGAATTCCTGATTTGGCAACAACATAAATGGATCCCAGTGCATCATGCTGAATGAAATAAGCCATCATCAAAAGGCTGTGATTCCATTTACCTGACATTCTAAAAAATTACTTTGGGGTTAGAAAACAAATCAATGTTTGGTTGCTTTTGAGAAATGAAGAGAAAGGATGAACCACAAATGGATATGGGGAATTTTTTCTGTGTTCTTATTAAAGGGGTATTATGCACTTACCGCATTTGTTAAAACCTATAGAGCTGTACACTTGACAGAGTGKATTTTACTGTATGTAAAGTATTTCCAATACAATAACTAAAAAAAAAAAAAAAAACATTAGGTATGATTGAGCACAACAAATGAAGAGATCACTGAACCCAAACACAGGTCAGTAGAAATCCAACATGATTTGAAAAGAAAATCTTAAAGAGAGAGAGCCTTGCCGACCTGTGGGAGAGCATCAAGCAGTCAAACATACATGTAGTTGGAGTCTCAGAAAAWGAAACAAATGAACAGTGTAGAAAATTATTTGAATAAATGCAGAGAAACAACCCACATATCCTTCACCCAGTGCATAAGTGGACATCTTGTGCTAAATCAAAGCAATGGAGTAATAAATACMCAGATATAAAAAGGAGKGAATTCCTGATTTGGCAACAACATAAATGGATCCCAGTGCATATTTTATACAAATTTGATTCAGAGCAACCACCTCAGGTTGAGGAAGCACAGTGAATCTTGAGCAGGATGGATAAACCATTAAAATTTACCAAATAAATAAATAAACCACAAAAAAGCAAAAATGCCAGTAGTTTGGTAGTTTGATRAAAGAAAAAAAATCAGCCAGATAGAGGAGGAGGAGAACAATAACAAAAAAACTATTGTGGAAGGGTGGGAACAAGTAAGAATGACGACTGACTTCTCTTAAAACTATTGATGCTGAAAGACAGTGGTGTCTGTTGGGTACTAAGAAAAATGAAACACTTAACCTTGCATTCTTTATCAAGGGAAGTCTTTCAAAACTGAAGGTGGAATAAGTGAAAACATTTTAAGATAAACCAAAGCTGAGACAATCTGTCACTAGATAACCTAAACTACAAGAATTRTTGAAGTTTTTCAGGCAAATGGAAAAGGTACCAGGTAGAAGTTCAGATCCATAGCCTTTTCTAGCTTAAATAGGGATTACATGACTGGGCCCCCATCTGTTGGTCATATTTATTCTTACAGAATACTCTCTCGCACTCTGTGCTCAGTACAGCTACTTTTTTCCTCCAAATTCTCACAAATAATCAATAAACCCCAAAATCCATGTACTGGGATTTAATGGCTACATTTTACTTCTTAAGCAATACAGTAGAATGGTCAATGCCAAAGTCCACCCATATGGAGGTTAAGTATTGATCTTAACTTTTATTTGGGGCCTGTGTGCTCGTGTATTGATTCACAACATGAAGTATGTTTGTTCATCTCTGGGTTGGAGTCAAAAAAGATTTTAGAAAGAGCTGCCCTAGTTCCATTGGCTTTCTGTACCTTGAACATCCCAGTTTGTGTGTGCGTAGTCTCTACCTGAGAATTTTCTTTTTGCATGTCTGTGCAGGACTAGCTTCTTTTCAACTTTTGAATTTGAGCTCAAATATAACTTCTCAGAAAAAAAAACCTTTAACTTTTCACAAAGTTTTAACATTGGAATCTGTTTATCTTGAATTATAATGGTTTATGTTTACTTCTTATTTATTTATATTTGGTACTGGGAATTGAACCCAGGAGCACTTAACCACTAAGCCACATCCCCAACCCCTCTTATTTTTTAATTAGAGACAGGGTCTCGCTGAGTTGCTTAGGGCCTTGCTAAGTTGCTGAGGCTGGTTTTAAACTTGAGATCCTCCTGCTTCAGCTCCCAAGCCTCTGGGATTACAAGCGTGCACCATCACACCTGGCTAAATTTTTAATCTACAAAATCTTTTTRTTTATCATGTTGGATTCCATTCCTTGTCTCTTTATTCCCCTGGGTATTGATACTTTGTACTACTTTGGTTTTTGTTCCTATGTTAAATCGAATTTCCATTTCCATTAAGTTCTGAAGTTTTTTCTCTTTTCAGTGGTCAAATGTCCATTTCCAGCAGTCGAAAATGGAAACCAGTTATCGGGACTCGGAAAAAAGTTTTCCTATAGAGATACAGTTGTGTTTGAATGCATTCAGGGTTATTACATGAATGGCAGCACCACCTCTGTCTGTAACGGTGAAAGTGTTTGGGAGCCTCCATTGCCAAAATGTCTTAAAGGTACAAAGTTTCTCTTGTTTCCTCCTTCTTTTTTTTTTTTTTTAAAGATTTTATTTCATTAAATACCAATGATACAGAAAGAAATGGAAAGTAATAATCGTAGCATTTAACTCCATCTTGTAGTCCTTTCTATACTCCACATGTGATCTAAAATTTACTTAGAATTCTCCTGTTGTGATTTTGGRTATCTTGCTAAGGGTTTTTAGTGTGTATATAGATGGCACAGGTATGTAAGTTCTCGTGTTCAATATTTTTATATATAAAAAGCAAATTGCAACAAATTTTTGTAGTAAATTGAAGCTTGGATAGTTTTGTGTAAGTCAAGAATAAAAGTCATGGATGTCTAAGTGAAATGAGAGTAACAAGTGGTTGATCCAACTTAACATTATTTTGTTTTTCATCGACGCCTCCTCCCAATACAAAACCTCCAACTATAAGTTATTCAGGTTTAGTARCTTTATTCTTATACATTTTTTTAAAATCKTAAAAATTCCTGGTGAAACTACTAGCAATAACTCTGAAGTGTGTGATCCAATCATTATTTTGTTTTCCAGTGTCAACTTCTCCCAGTACAAAACCTCCAGTTTCCACTGTTTCAGGTTTAGTAATTTCCTACTTATCATTTTCAAAAATCCTTTAAATTCCTGGTGATTTTTTTCAGATAACCTCTGAATTCCTCATAATGGATACTCAAGCATAGTTTTTTGTAAYAAAAATATTTGACAGCCATTTTATCTGCTATCCATAGTGTTCAAATATTTCATTTGCCATAGACCACACATGAACAGAAATGTGAACTTTGGAAAGTAATGTAAAGTTTAAATGTATTTACTTATATATAAAGTGGTTTAGTACCTTCCTTACTGGGTGATAGTAAAGTTTATGTGGGATGCAGGTAAAAGATCTTAGCATAGTGCTTGATATCTAGGAAGCTCTTAAAATTAACTAACATGACTAATCATTTCTTCAATTAGTGTTAATGAAGGTGAAGGTGCATGGCTTGTGTTTATCAATGTGTTTTCYGTGTCATCAACCTTGCTATGTCTTTCTTTTTAGAGGTGACCTGTAGACAGCTTTACTGGGTCTTTCTAGTTCAGGTCTATGTTTCATTTCCTGGAAAGAAAATGGTTCATTCCTTTAATCCAACACATCCTGAGAAGTTTCTGCAAGACCTGTATTTCTACCTCCTCCTCACTCTTCTTACCCACCTGAAGAAATTATTCTTTTTTTTTTCTCTTTCCTGATCAGTTTTATTTGACAACAGGAAATAAGTTTAATAGCAACTTCAAAGGTAGGAAAATTCCTTATTTACTGAAATGAAATGAAAAGTTTTTTGCAGGGACTACAGATTGACTGTTGTATGGTATGATGGAAGGAATTATTATCCTGATTTCAGTTATCTCTGACYTCACACTTCACGTGGGATACAGTGGAAGTAGGAGACAGTAGGAATCATGAGAAGAACATTTTGCTAGCCCAGACTATGCCCAGGCTCCTACTTTGGCTCTKCCTAACTCAAAAAAAATCATTTCYATGGACTTTATTTCCTCTTTGGTTTAATGAAGATGTTAAATTCAAATAAATCTCAATTACTGGTCCTAGTTTGTTTATGTATTTCCTTATCCTAATATTTTAAAGGATAGAGGGAAATTATACATGTCACCATAGTAATTAGAATACCTTTCTCTAATTCCTGTAAGAATCTGGTACCTGGTAGCCTCTTTAAGTACCTTAGTTAAGTGCTGTGGGATGAGGGGTGTGGAACAGAGAAAGATGGTTTTATGGTGGATGAATACATGAACAAAACCAACATTACATGTGAAACTTTGTATTCATTGACCCATCCCTGTTTGCTTATCGCTCCAGAGGGTGGGTATGTATGTATATATATATATTCTACCAAGTTTATTGATATACTCTTTTGAAAGGGTTGACTATAGGAAWTTTATAAAGGATTTGAAAAATGCTGATTTAACTTAGTGTTAAAGAAGAGCAACTACAGGAAACTTTTGTAAAAAAAAAAAATCAAAAATCAAAAGTTCTGATGGGACTGTCATTTTTTTTATCATTAGCTAAGGAAACTCCATATCAAAAGTATCAATAGCAACATATAATGGTGTTAAGATAAATTTAAATGTGCTAATATGCAAAAAGTCTATGAAATACTAAGTAGAAATGATTAAGATGCAAATTGTGTAATAGGATACCGTTGGGATCTTTTTWAAAAAAATACATATATTTATCCAGAACACATTATTTTTAYAATTTATTATTAATTAACTTCTAGAGTTTCTACTATAAATTACAAAGCTGTAGTGMGCATTCTTGTGCATACATCCTGTGTACCTGTGCAAATATGTGTGTAGGTCAGTTAAGTTCTCAGAAGTAGAGTTGCAAAATTCAGAAATTCTATGTATTTTTTAATTTTAATAATCTTTAMAAAATATCAAAATTTATAWTTTTGTATTACTAAGGCTAGTGAATTGACAAACTCAAATTTATTATTCTAGGTCCTAGGCCTACTCATCCCAAGAAACCTTCAGTTCATAATTATCCAGGTTTGACAGTTTTTTAATCCTATTGATAYAGTTAATAACTTCAAAAATAATACATGAAATTGATTTGTTAATTTGCATTTTTAATTATCAATGAGGCTGAATTTTTTTGGTCTACATTTTAATTTTTCATCATCATCATATTATTGTTATTATTGTTATTATTTTGAGATAGGGTCCTACTATGTTGCTCAAGTGAKCCTCCTACCTCAGCCTCCCRAGTAGCTGGGACTACAGGCTCATGGCACTGTGCCCAAAGTTCCACATTTATTTATTTATTCATGTCCTTTGCTCATTATCCTATTAGGTTTCTAAAATATTTCTTGTTGGTTTTTGAAGGCTTCTTATAAATTAAAACCCTTTTTATATGAAGTGAACATTTTTTCCACATTTGTTTTTGTTTATACAAAAACTAGTCAGTTTTAATTTTTTTATATAGTGGCCATAGGTTTATTTTTGTCACTTGTCACTAGATGAGTAGTATACATATTTATTAGTATACATCCAAACATATTTTTGTGAGATTTACAAAACATTACAAAAAGTAGAGACTAAAGGATTAGTTCTGTCTCATCCATGACCCAAATTTATCACTATTAATAGTTGAGGATTTCTTTATCTATTTGTGTACATCAACATCTTTTTATGGGTAGTTATACATGTATTTTGAGGTGTTTTTTTTTTCTTAAAAAAAAGGACATCACGGTATACATATTTTCCTACAACTTATACTTTTTTTCCATTTCATGTCTTGGGGGGGGGGAGGGTTATATTTAGATTTATTTCCCTTCTTTCTAATGGTGACTTGAATATATACCATATTTTATTTTCTACTCTTCTGTCAGTGGTCATTGATGTGTTCCAAAGCTTTAGATTAATATGGTAGATAATTAGATGTATTGATCTTTTCCCCAATAGCTGTAGGTTTTGTTTCTTATAAAAGCTTTAGTCTTAAGACCCCATGCTGAAATTACATGAAGATTTCAATTATGTGTTCTGACTTCGGTTTCTGCATTTAAATCATTGGTACACTTGACATTCATGGTGGTAGTTGGAATGAAATGAGCTTCCTCCTCACCTCCTCAACCCATCCAGTAGCTGAGCACCACCATCTGTTGGATGAGTTATCTTCTCCTCAGTTGATTGGGGGTGCTGCTTTTTGTCATAAACTGAGTTCAAAGCTGTTCTGGCTGCTTTTCTCCTCTCAAATATGTCAGAATCATATTTACTATAGTACGAAATGTTTTAATATCTGGCGAAACACTGCCTTTTCAGAAATTTCCAAACCCTGTTAATTTTTCCAAATCAACCCTTTGTTTACTTTTTTAACCATCTTCAGTGTGAAATTCAGTGGCCTTCAATACACTGACATTATTGTGCAGCCGTCACTATCATCCAGATCCAGAACTTTATCATCATCCCAAACTGAAATTCTACCCAATAAATGATAACTTTCCATTCCTCTTTCTCCCTAGCACCTGGTAACCACTATTCTACTTTTTTGTCTCTGACTTTGCCAATTGTAGGTACTTCATCAAGTGGAATCAGACAATATTTGTCCTTTTGTAACTTCCTGATTTCATTTAGCACCTTTTCTTTTTTTTTTTTTGTGGTGATGGAGATTGAACCCTGGGGCCTTGCACATACTAGGCAAAAGAACTCTGCTCCTGAGCTATATCCTCAGYCTATGTTCCTTTATGTTGTATCATGTGTCAGAACTCTTATTTCTTTTTATGGCTGAATAATATTCCCTTATATGTATATACCACATTTTATGTCATCTTTCATCTGTTGATGGATATTTGGATTGTTTCCTCCTTTTGTCTATTCTGAATAATGCTGTTTCAAACATGCTGTTTGTGTACATAACCGTTCAAAGTCTCTGTTTTTAATCTTTTGGATGTATACTCAGGAGTAGAGGTATAGATGGAGGATAGCTGGGTCATAGGCTAATTTTTTTTTTCAAGCAACTGCTGTCTTCTACAGTGGCTGTGCTATTTTGCATTATTACCAGCTGTGTACAAAGGTTCCAGTTTTTCCACATCTTCACCAACACTTGTTATATTGGGTTGTCCTTTTGTTTATTTTGTGACAGCCACCTGCCTTAATTTTGTACTGCTATAACAGTACCACAGATGAGGCAATTTATAATGAGTCGAAAGGTCTTTCACCCAGTTCTAGGGGCTAGGGAGTCTAATTTGAATGTGATTTGCACTTGACAAGGGACTTCTTGCTGCATCATGACCTGGAGGAAGACATCACCTGTCAGATGGCATCACGTGGCAAAAAGGCAACAAAAGGGACTGGGAGGGAGAGAGCATGAACAAGAGGGGCAGACCCCACCCCCAAGATGGCGGCATAGGTGTGCTCACTTGTGCCCGCCTCATCTAAAAGTCTCTTAACATTCCTGCCTCCCAGCATCATTACACTGGCGATTAAACTTCAACATTTGTTTTGGAAATGGCAGACATTCCAACTACAGCACCATGCTAGTAAATATGAATCAAAACTCATTAGAGGTTTTATTTGCATTTCCCTAATGATTAGCGACGTGTTAAACATCATGTGCTTGTCGGTCATTTGGATATCTTCTTCAAAGTAATAGCTATTCAAGTCCTGGGCCCTGTTTTTAAATGGGGTTTGCTGTTTCTAAGTTTTGGGGTACTTCATATGTTCTGAATATTGATCTCTTATCAAAGGATTTTAAATTATTCTCAATCTGTGGGTTGCCTTTCTACCCTATTAGTGTCCTTTTATGCACAAATTCTTAATTTTGATSAAGTTCAAKTTATCYATTTTGCTGTTATTGTTACYGTTACAACCAAGAAATCCTGGCCAGATCCAATATCATGAAGTGTTTTCCCTCTATTTTCTTCTAAAAGTTTTATAGTGTTAGATCTTTTAGTTAGGTATGTGACTCATTGTGAGTTCACTTTTATACACAGTAAGACTTCAACTTCATTATTTTCCCAGTGGATATCCAGATTTCCCAGTACCAGACTATTGAGAATATTCTTCAACAAGAATGACTACTCTTGACACTTGTGTTGAAAATAATTTGTCTGGATATGCTGGTGTTGATYTCTGAGCTCTCCATTCTTATTCTATTGGTCTGTCTTTATGCCAGTCTTTATTCCAGTACCACTYTATTATACTTTTGTAGTAAGTTTTAAAATCAAAAAGTGGGAGTGCTCTTAACTTTGCTCTTCTTTCCCCAGATAGTGGTGGCTCTTTGGGGTCCCTTGAGATTTCACATTACATGAATAGAAGGTGGCAAGCATGAGGACCACTTGTTCTTRATCTCAGAGGAAAAGCTGTCAGTCCTGTGTCGTTGATATTAGCTATGGCTTGTTCATCTATAGTCTCTATTGTGCTGAGGAAGTTTCTTTCCATTCCAGATTAACTTTGAAAGCATTTACTGYGCCCTACTTACATTTAACTTTAATCAGAATTACACTGAATTCACAGGCTAATTTTGAGAATATACTAAAAATATATTTGTATGCTATACCACACACACGCAGTATTATCATAGGAAATGTTAGTGGACAGTAAGAAGAAAGCTAATAATATTGAATATATATATATTTATTTATTTATAGAATTTTATGACACTTTGAGAATTAGTAATATGGTTTATAAAGAATGAAATTTTTAAAGGTTTTGTACAAAAGTGGAAAAAATCAACGTATGAATTTAAAGGATTTTAAGATTGATTTATTCTTTTCTCTCTCTCTCTCTCTTTTTTTTTACTTTATTTTAATCTGTTTTTCTCCTTTTTTTCCCTAGGATATCCCAATCCCGATGGACTGTTTGATGATGAATTCGGTTATTATTTTGTTATTGATAATCCTTCATTAAGAGACCTTATAGGTTATATGGAAATATGATAGTTTMCAATTATCTGCACTTAAGGAAGAAATTTCTTAAATTATTAGTAATAATTGACATTTATGGTTATTTTGTGCAGATAATAATACAAATATAAGTAATAGTGTATTAGAAACATTCAGGTAAGTAGAGTTGTATAGGGGTGGCTCAATACCTATCTAAAAGGTAACCTATCTAAATTTTCTTGTCATGTGTGGGTTAATATATGTAAAACACAACTTGCTTTCCACATGATACTGTTATTTTGTGATGGCAGATTGTAGTTAGATTCTCTTCCTATTCACATCACATGTACATACACCTTAAAGAGCACTCTGTTGTGTTAWTTTTTTTTTCTGTAATAGGCTGGTTTAATGCACTTGATGTAGTCTTATACAGACCACATAATATATRTTAAATGAATGAAGTAGACTAGTCAGAACAGTTAAAGTGCAGAGAAGTAAAAGATTTCTTGAGTAAAACAAGACAAAAATTTGACTAGTTTAGTAATTGTTAATCCTGTAATAAAATTCACCTTAGTCTTATTTTTTAAGTACAACTGTCTGTCTTGGTGTCCATGGGCGACTGATTCCAGGACCTCTCCCCTCCCCATGCAGATAAACAAGATCTGAATGCTCTARAGTCCCGCCTATAAAAATGATATATCATCTCACATACAGCCTAGGCACATCCTCCCATATCCAGTCATCTCTAGATTACTTATAGTACTAATAMAATGTAAATACTACTGAACAGATCAATACATTTTTTTTTCCAAATATTTTTGATCTGTGCTTGGTTGAATCCACACTTTTGGAAACTGTGGATAGAGTTCTGACTATATAGTTGTCCTTCAATATACAGTGGGGTTATATCCTGATAAACCCATTGTAAATTGAAAATATCCTAAGTTAAAAATGCTTTTAGTTCACCTAACCTACCCAACACCATTGCTTAGCACCACAGGGGAGTACTGGTTGTGTACCCTCAGGGGGGCGTGACTGTCTAGGAACTGCCACACATGGCTGAAGCCCAGCAGCTTGAGATAGTGTGGTCCATCATGTTGCTAATCCAGGAAAGGATCCCATTTCAGAGTTTTTCCTCTACTGTAGTAAATGCTAATTGTTCTAATAACGTTTACTAAGAACCTGAACAGAACACTGAAAAGTGAGGTTTTATTAGAAGTTTTGCAAATTGGACTTGCAACCCGGAAAGTGGTTTAGAAAAGTTTTGCGATCAAAATGACTAGAATGCCCTGGCAGTTGTGCTAAAACTAGGTAGGTTTAAAAAAAAAAAAAAAAAAAAAGTTTTTCTCTAGCATTTAGATGATCTAAGCAAAAATGTAACTGCCATCTGGAGACCCATATCTTCTTAATTTTTTTTTCCTTAGCTCAATGGATCATTTTGCTGATTATTCTTATTGCAAGTAAGTATCCCAAATTTTGACACCGTGTAAATCAAAATATTAAGTTCATTTTAAAGTATTTTTCCAGTTTCTATACTTTGWGATTAAGTAAATCAATGTAGAAAAACCCAACCTTTTATATGATAGTACTACCTTTTGTTGGTGATTTTTTTATTGTTTCATGTTCAACATATCTACTTAGAAACAAACCCTAAGTATTATGTACTTCTTTGATGTAATGGGCTTGCTTTGCAAATATGCTTTTAAAATTTTGTTCTTTTTAGATATACATGACAGTAGAGTATATTTTAATAATTTTCTAAATTAAACTAGGATTCTTCCTTGACTTATGGTGGACCATGTAGGTGGTTCCAGGGAACTGGATTTAGATAATGAAAAGTCCAAATGACTTAAGTAGAGTGCCTAAGTAGAGTGCCATTTTCTGACCACTGAAATATATTCAGCGTTTGTTTCTTCTGCTTAAATTTTGATCCTTGTTAATTAATTTTCAGTCACATGTTATTTATTTCCTGGTTTCTTACAGTTGTTTCGATTGCTATAATTATCCTCTGCCTGTACAGACGTTTTCAACGCAGGAAGAAGGGGTAAATAAAGCATATGTCTCCTCACTTWTCAATCCTTCTTATCCCTAACATCCTTTGTGCCACTTAAGTTTGTACTCTGTATTGCATGACATCTTTTTTTTTTTTAAGTGGGCCTGCATTAGTGTTCCTTCATTTGCATTTCTTTGCTAAAAACATTTTCAGGTACTTTTACCATCATTGCAACATGAGGAGTCTGTGCAGAATCGTTTCAGCAACTACTGTGGCTATAAGAAAAGTTTCWGTGGGATTTGTGGTTTAAGCTCTTTAGTGAATCATGGTCCATTATGAGGCCTTCCCACAGGTATACCCTGTTTCCTAAATTGGACAAATGGCCACAATTAAAAGTATTTCACTTTTGACAGTTATATTCACTGGAATTTTTAACCATGAAAATTTCCATTTTTCTGGAATAATAGCTGSTTGTAAGAAGGTATGTAGGTGCCTCATTCAACAGCCCAATTTGATTTCATTCATTTCATTTCCTATTTATAAATGTTAAACTGGAGGATTAAAAACAACACTTTTAAATTTCTCTTTTATTTCCTCTTAATTTACTAGATTGCAGTGTAAAAGTTGCTGAAAGAGCTAAGATTTGCAGGGCACCTCCATTAACTTATGCCTGTTTTTCTCTATAAAAATAATGGGGGCTTAGAATAGAAAAAAAAGTGTACAAATACATATCTTTTAAGGAAAATAGGGTTTTTAAGTATCAAACTTAAATTTTAAGACTCTTAAAAATATTTCCAAGGGTAATTGAAAGCAGGGTAGAGAGCACAGATAATCTTGAATTGCTCTAAAATGTGATGTAAACCGGTGTTTATGATGATTTGGGAACACAGTTATTCTTTCTTCTACAGCCTTCATCTCAAAGTACAAAAATGGTATAGTCATTTTAAACAGCATCCAACATCATTTAAATTATTTGATGAAAAATGCCCAAAAGGTCCAAGTATTTTGCTGCAGTTTTCTGTTTCTTAGTTCTCAGCCCCTGGGCCCATCACGTGCTCCTTCCTCTTCCCTTCTAGCTTTCTTTCTTAACTAATTCTTCCTAGCACTTTCCAGTCTCAAAAATCACAGCCCTTTCCCGTCGTCCGGCTTCTGCGAGTCTGATCTTGTTAAGTCTGTGTGGTTCTGAACCACAGATGCCTTTCCTTGGAATGAATGTTTTCACTTACTGGTGAATTTTTTTTTCATAAATGCATGATTTTCTTTACTCTGGTTAAATCATCCTTGGATAGGTAAGAATTGAAGTTCATGAGAATTATTTGCATAATTATTTGCATAATGGGGGGCTTTCCCCCCATTAGTGACTTATACTGTTCTGTATAACTTAAGCAGACTTTTTTAAATTTTTATTTATTTATTTATTTTTTTATTTTTTTGGTCACTAAGGATTGAACTCAGGGGCACTGGGCCACTGAGCCACATGCTCAGCCCTATTTTTTTTTTTTTTAAATTTAGAGACAGGGTCTCACTGAGTTGCTCAGCACCTCGCTTTGGCTGAGGCTGGCTTTGACCTTGCAATCCTCCGGTCTCAGCCTCCAAGCTCCTGGGATTACAGGAGTGTGCCACGGTGCCCAGCAACTTCAACATACTTTTGATGTTGTATTCATATTAACTGACTCAGATACTTTGTCATTTTTAAGCTGTCTTAAATAGGCAATTTTAAAAATTAACGTATGTAATTTTAAAGCATGAATTTTGCTTTGATGTAGGCTTAAATAGTTACCTTCCCCTTAAATAGTTACTTTCTTTAGCCTCTGTAGTTGCCTCTACCTAGTCTGGCAGCTGTGAATTCAAAAGGGACTTTTTGATCTCAGTGGGAAATAATCAACAGAACCAATTCGTTTCTAGTGCAGGGAAGGAAAGAATGTCCTTTTACAGAAACCAAAATATTTTATCTCATTTTGTAAATGAAATACTCATTAAGCACAGGCAGCTTAAAAATTTGAGTGAGCTCACATAGCTGGGGTGTGTAATGACATGGGGCAAAAAGCTGAAGTAAAATGAAGGTGAACATTTTTTTTCTGTTTGGCTCTTAAATTTCTGAGCATTCCACAAAACTTGCTCAAATTTTTGATCCAAAAATAATACATAACAAGAGATTGTGTGTGTGTGTGTGTGTGTGTGTGTGTGTGTGTGTTGGCCAGGCATGATGGAGCATACCTGTAATCCCAGCAGCTCAGGAGGCTGAGGCAGGAGGATTACAAATTCAAAGCCAGCCTCTACAATTTAGAGAGGCCTACAGCAACTCAATGAGACCCTGTCTCTAAATAAAATATGAAAAAGGGCTGGGGATGTGGCTCAGTGGTTAAGTGCCCTGGGTTCAATCCTGGGTACCAAAATAAAAAGAAAMAAAAGAGATTGTATAATTAAAGCCACCCCATAAACTTGGGAAACCATGTAATAAGTTTTACAAGGATCTTTCCCTCAAGTTGAAAAAAAAATGTGCCATAGGAAGAAACTGTATAAATGCAAAAAAGTTGAGGTGCATCCAAATGCATGACCTGTCATGAAGTTGACTTGCAGGACAGTCTGACATGCACTGAATACAGACATCCTGTATTCCCTCAAATTTTAGGGGACTGTTTTGAGAGACCGGGACTTTTTCCCCATCCAATGTTATTTTTTGAAATAATTTTTACATTGTTTTGTGCAAAAAATGGTTTTAAAGGAAAATATATTGAACAGAAATTTGGAATCTGTTCATCTGCAGGAAGATACACAAGACTTCAAAGTTAAAGTAGCTTTCTGCACAAAATTCACATGTCAAGTTCCTGAGACACAAAACCTTAACTTATGAACCTAATGCTCAGCTTTACATCCATTCTCTTCTAACATTGGTTTTGTCACATACTGCATTACTCTTGCTTCTTTTTGGTTGGATGTCACTATTTTATTCAGCCCTTCTCCTTCCTCTGTTCAGGATATACCTAATTTATGAGAGCTACAGAGAAGTACAATTTACTTCTCTCTGAGAAGAAGAGATAAGAGAAAGGCTTACTTTTACTATTAAAAGGTATCTATCTGTTTCTGTTGTTTCTTTGCAACAGTGTCCTTTGTTTTGAAAAATATTCAGTGGATATTTAGATATCAATAACCTGAGCTATGTTGGCAGTAAATTTCAAAGTGGAAACAAGTCCTGTTCCCTTTGCTAAATTATTGATGCTTTCTTATGCCATTCCTTTTTTAAAATTTAACATAATGTGTACTGACAGGATTTTGCTTTGAAGTGGGCTTAAGTAGTTATATTCCCCTCCTACTTTCCTCAGCTTATGTAGTTGCTTCCGCCTTCTAAAGTAGCTGTGAAGCCAAAAGTAGAAAAATTTTATAGGGAATAATTAGGGGAAATTAACAGAACTAGCTCATTGTAAGTGCAGGGAAGGGAAAAAATGCCCTTTTACAGAAAAAAAAGAAAAGCTTTAAAATGCTTTCAATTCCAACTTGCAAATAACTCTGTAAAGACATTCGTTTCCATTTTTCTTTAATATTTGATGAATTCAAGAAAATCAAGATCTTCAGGTTTTGAAAAAATGATAAAATTGCTTTGACTTCAACCATCTTTTGTCTTTGAAATGAAATGAATTTTAAGTGTCCCTCCATTTGTGCTAGAATGGGTGTCAATATGGCTGGGACAATAGGAAGCTGCGTATTCCACCTTTTCTGAGGTCCTACCCTGGTTTATAAAGAGTTTGGGAACAGGATCCATAAAGGCCAATGGGAAGGACAATTTCTTTGCAAAAGCAAAATTGTGTTTGATCACAGAGCAAAGGGAAAGACAAAACGCAACTGGAATTGGCAGTCTGGGCCAACCTAGTCTTGTATACATTCTTTGTCTCATGGGACACTTTTGAAGCTAATGCCCACCAAAGAGAGAGTTTTCAAACTCTGAGCTTCGGGTGGTTGTAAACATTTGAAGACAACTTAATGAATGCGGAAGTTAATATACAATAATAGTAATTAGTAATTAAGTTCCAAGTTCTCATTATCTTTCAAATAGCTTTGTTGATAGGTCAAATGAATATTTCTCTAAGCTTATGTTGATGCTTTCTATCTTTCTCAAATACTGGATTTGTTTTTATAATTCTATTTAAAGAAAAAGACTTCCAATACAGGAAAAATAGTTATTGACTTTGAGAAAGCATATCAGTCAGAGATTTGAATGATTGGCATTTCAAACTATTAAGTCAATCATACATCATCTCGGTCTTTTGTAAAATTCTGTGAGTAGAGTAATGTGATCGTGGCAGGTTGCAWTGATAGCCTCCCTCACAAAGAGGAATAGTAAAGTATCCAAAATTAACATGGTTAGCTGTTACCATGGRTAGGCACCTCTGAAGTGTTTCCTGTGTCACACACACTGGTAAACAACTGGCTGGTCCAAATTTAGTTTTAGACCTTCTCTTACAGTCAGTTTCCTAAGGCAGGGCCTGATTATCACTACACTGTCCAATTCAAGAGCTAATAGCCACATATGGCTATTGAGACTCAGAAGTAGTTAGCCCAAGGTAAAATATGCTCAAAGTATAGAACACACCCTGATTTCAAAGACATGGTACAAAATCAGGTCAAATACATGTCAAAATATATTCACAATATTTTGCTTTTATTATGTTACAGTCAACATTAAATTAATCTTACCTGTCCTACATTTTTTAATGTGGCTTTTAGAAAATTTTAAATTACATGGCATTTTAATTCTTTGGAAAGCATCTGATTAGACGAAAGATTTTGCAAAAATGTCTAATGTTTCAAGGTCTGATGTAAACCTTATTTGGAAGAATGTATGACCCTGGTAGGATAACTGAGGCATCTCTGCACTTGAACACTGCTAGAGTCGCCACCTTGAAAAACTTCATCTCAGAGCCACAGATTCAAAATTGTGATATTAGGGAAGCACATGTCTCTCTCTAGTGTTTCCTACTGGCCCTAAATGAAAATGAGAAAATATTCACTAAGAACTTTGTGTGTTATTGCTCTATTTCTTGTTTTGGAGGAAGTAAAAATACAAGGATAGAAAGGGCTTTAGAATAGAATGAAACTGATTGAACATTAAAATTATTTTAAAATCAATCATGTATTTTCTAATTTAAGGACTCTTATTATTATAAACAGTTTGGGTTTTTTTTTTAATTGTCTTGTTTTCAGGTTGGGGAGGTAAGCTCAGTGGTGGAGCATGTTTAAAGCCCTGGGTTTGATCCTCAGCACCACAAAAATATAAAAAGTATTTCTTAAATAGACTTCAGGAATTAATTTCTGTATTTAATTGTATTGATCTTTACACCTTGTCTTGTAGGAAAACAGTTAGAGCTCAATACAACACTTACCAGAAAAGTTTGACCACTTCAGCGGAGCCAACTACGTGATTTCCACACACCTGTGTCTCCGTTTATCTTTTAATTCTGCTAAGAGCTTCTCATCTGCAATAGTTAATGTGGATGCACTGCTGAGTTATGCTGTTCATATTTTAATGTGACTGGAATGTAGTAACCCTCTGTTTATACACATATGAACTGGGGTCTGAACACAGTTCCTGTTTCCCCCTAACATTTGGACTTAGGGGGGCAAATCAACACAGTATCCCTGACAGTCTTAAGATGGGGAAATGATTTGTTTTGTAAAATGGGAAAATCCAGAAAAATATAGCTCAAAATGAAATTACATTGCATTTTTTTCAAAAAGTGGTTTTGAAAGCTTTTTAATGTGAACTCTTAATATTCCATCTTTCCACAACTCTTTAATGTTATTTTTYTATTTTGTTCATTGTAAAAAGCCTTCACAAACAGGTGTATATATTCCTATATACCAGAACACTGATAATTGGGAATATTGATAATTTTGACCTCCTTAACTAAGAATATTATTGGAAAATTATCCAGAAGTTAACAGGATAACCTTTTTGGTAACTTCTTTGATTTAAAGATGCTAGAAACTTTATGTAAGGCCTTTAATTTTTTTWWAAATTTTACTTATTAGTTATATATGACAGCAGAATGCATTTTCTTTATCTATTCATCTACTAAAGGGCATCTAGGTTGGTTCCATAGTTTAGCTATTGTGAATTGTGCTGCTATAAACATTGACGTGGCTGTGTCCACATATCACAATCCAGTTTTGATTTGCATTTCTCTAATTGCTGTAGATGTTGAACTTTTTTTTATATATTTGTTGATTGATTGTATATCATCTTCTGAGAAGTGTCTGTTCGGTTCCTTAGTCTACTTATCGAATGGATTATGGGGGTTTTGGGGGTGTTAAGATTTTTTAGTTCTTTATATATCCTAGAGATTCGTGCTCCATCTGATGTGCGTATCATAAAAATTTGCTCCCATTCTGTAGGATTTCTGTTCACTTCACTGATTGTTTCCTTKGCTGAGAAGAAGCTTTTGAGTTTGAATCCATCYCCTTTATTGGTGTTGGCCTTTGTTTTTAGGTTTTATTTGTGGTGGTTTACTGATGTAAAATGAGTAAGCTATCAGAACCAGTTGCATACTTCTGTAAAAAGTTAGAGAACTCTGACACCTTAAGAAGAATGCCAGTTTATGGTCGAGTGAACACTGTGGCCTCGTGCTTTCCTTGAAGAGTTCCCTCTGCTGAGTAACTCACTCTTAAGTCATGGGAGACTTTCTTTCCCTACTTGGTCTTCCTCATTTTGGCCGGGCACAGTAATGTATGCCTGTAATCCCAGGGACTCAGGAGGCTGAGGCAGGAGGTTTGCAAGTTTGAGACCAACCTCAGCAATTTATCGAGGCCCTGTCTCAAAAAAATAAAAAAGGGCTTGGGATATAGCTCAGTGGTGAAATGCCCCTGGGTTCAATTCCCAGCATCAAAGTAAAAAAGTCTTTTTTTTTTTTAAATGAGAATAGATTAAAAATCAGCTAACCTCACACACTGTCAGATTGACTGTCCCTGCCATYGAAACCTCTTAACTGTGTAGGTATCTCACCTCATCTCCTAAAAGGTAGAGTACAAATTCAACCATGTATCTCAGAGGAGCAAATGTTTGTCTGCTGTTGGTGGCACTAGTGGACAAATGAACAGCTCAGGTAGCTTCCTGCTCAGGTAGAACAGAGCTTGGTCATCTATGGAGTCCCCAACCCAGGCAGTCTCTTGCAAATAAGCCAGTGGACTGCTCCTTAAAAAACCAACCAAACAATCAAAACCTCACATTTTTCCAAGTCGTATTTTAAACTTTAGTAGCACAGAGTAGACCAAAGAAATGCCACCTTGAGACACTTATATATGACTGGGGAATAAAGGGGGCAGGAGAAATATTGTTTAACTCTATGAAGACCTGTCTAGGGTGCACTGTAAATGATCCCGAATTAAGTGACCTAAATTAAGTGAAGAGTTGAAATTTATACTGATTTTCACATACTTTTCAAGAATGTAGCGATTGTTTAGAAGCTATACTATTTTTTAAACCTGAATGTTTTCCAGATATTTTTAAATTTACATTTATACTAGTTTCTGCTTTGAAATTAAATTTTTTCCATTTAACGTTTATATTTGATATTTATATGTAAATATGTATTTTGCTTGTCAAGAAATTTTTTGGTTATTTAAATACATGGAGAAGTCCATTTTAAATGAGAGGGGGGAAATAAGCATATTTGAATTTAAAACATCTATTTAACACAAAAGTATATTTGTAGTAAAACTAGAAGTCCTGTAGTATGTGAAAGTCTTTTATTGTTCATTTTTTAAGAACTGGCTCTTTAGGTCCATCAAAAATAAAATTGTATATTTGGAGGAGCATGATTGTGAGGGTGTGTTTATTTCTAGTGTGATTATCTCAAATGAGAAGAAGTTTCTGTCGGGCCATCTTGAATCACTGCACTCCTGTTGCTCTCACATCACATCCTTCCAGTGCCCAGGCTTCTCCTCTCCCAACCCAGCACACCTCCCGCTCACAGGTGTTCAGAGACACATCACCTACAGCAGGAAGTCCAAATTTCTAGGCATGACACTTGAAGACCGTCTACAATTAAGTCCTAATTTTTCTTTCTAGCCTTTTCTTTCTGCTACATTCCTTCAAATAACCTGCCCTCAGTCAAGCCAGACATCTGCCCTGTGCTTTCTGTTACTCCACTCCACTGCTAGCTGAAATGTCCTGCCAAGATCCTCATGCACTTTTCAAGGTCCAACTCAAGCATTACTCATTCCAGGAAGCTCTGCTTGATTTCCACCCAGCTATTATAGCTTGTATTAGTACCTAACTCTGAGTTAATCACATTTGAGTAGCTATATATATGTGTGTGTCTAGTAGAAGATATACCTTCCACATCACTTCAATTGCACACATAGGCCAAAACTCACGTACCAACACAATTAAAGTATAATTTTTGTTTATTAAAAAAATCCTTGTCTTTGCATATTTGAATTAAATCAGACTGCTAGATCTGTCCTATCAGGCCACAGTGTTTCTCAGCCATGGCTGCACACTAGAATCACCTGGGAAGCTTTATGACACCTGGGTCCCACCCCAGAGGRCTCTCAGGTAATTGATCTGGGATGTGGCCTGGGCATAAGGCATTTTTAGTGTCCCAAGAGATTCTAAGGTACAGCTGAGCCTGAGAACATCTACATTAGGAATTTTCCAGCCCAAGAGTTAATTTATCCAAATAAGCTTATAAAGAAAATAAAAGCTTATATTTACATAATACAATCATGACTTTAATTCTGTGTATTAATCAGAAACTTCTAAAGACTTGAATTAAGGTCTTGTTGCCTGGTCAACCAATAAAGTAATCTGTGGTTTAGAAATACGAAAGAAATATTTTTAACATTTAACAAATATTTTTTAACATCCATTCAATGCTGGATGAAAACTAACCAAGAATAAAGACTAAGAATAAAGAAAGCATTTTAGAAAATTTTATTTGGTCATGAGAGTATAGTTGCTTTAAAAATAATTAAAAATTGGCATGAATTCAGAAAGTGGTCCAAAATAGGATGGGAGGAATCCCATCAAAATAGAAGAAAAATCAGTGGAATAGACAAAGGGGATTGAAGGGGAGGAGGAGGGATAGGAGAAGGGAATGAATCTAAGTTTCCTATGTACATATATGAATATACCACCCATAGTGACTCACCATCATGTATATCCACAAGACACTAATTTTAAAAAATAGCAGAAAGATAAGTAGAGGGAAAAGAATAGAGAAGGAAAGGGAAAGTACTGGGGACTGAATAGAACAAATTATAGTCCATGCTTTTACAACTATATCTCATAAATGAACCAATAAAAAATGGCAYTAAATATACAGCAAGAGTTTCTGAAAGAATGCTTAAGACACCTAGTATTGGAAAGAATTTGAATTTGCATGTTAAAGTACATTTTTTTGCATTTAAGGGAAATAGGCAACTCTGCAGTATTCTAAACAGTAATGTCTGACAACTATCATTTTAACCAAGAATGAATTGTTTCTTGTATATCATGAAAACTTGCATATTTTTATTTAGGGGTAGGACTTAACAGTCTAATAACTTCTAGAAGTGATGAAGAATAAATGTACATATGGATAAACTACCTTGCTCTTAGAATTTCTAGTCTCTTCCAGAAAAGGTTAGAGAGGAAGTCTTTGTAAACTGTAGCGCTGCTGCCCTCCTGTGGACTGTCAGGGCATTGAACAACCCCTCCTCACAGTGCAAACTGTCATTATTCCAAGGTTGTCTTTAAGGGTGATTCCCAGAGCCATTTTTAGTTTCCGTATAAAACTAGCTTTATTCTTCTGTGCAAGCAAACTCTGTCCCTTACTACTTAAATGAAAGGTAACATAGTGGGGGGAATTATATGGTCAACAAACGATTTTTCTTCCTTCTCACTTACAGCAGGTGAATAACTTGCCACGAGGGTAGATAACACTGGTTCTCAACTTGACTGTGCAAAGTCCAAGAAAACCTTGCAGAGGTAATAAAACTAGCATTAGAAGAAGCCACTGAAGTTCATAAAATCTAACTCCCTTATGTAGTTTTTTAAAAACTGAATTATTATTGTATGTTGCCATGGCAACCCTAGTACCAACTACYGGACAAAGCAGCACCCTGACATTCTGTGCTTAGGGCTTATGGCTTCACTGAGAATTCATACTACTACTAAGGCTTACATGAGCAAGTGTGCATGGTGTCTGGGAAATCTGTCATCTGATTATCTGCCTCCATTTGTCAAGGCTCATAAGAAAAAAACACTCCTTAGACTTTGTATTTGAGGTGAGCCTCAATTATTGAAGAATTCCTTGGGTAGGATCTCACAGCACCATGCTCCTTACATTTAAAAAACAATGCTGATTCAGGGGGTCTTAGGTGCAGCCTGCAGTTCTCATGAGTTCCCAGGCCTTCCTATTTGTGGTGGATTGTGTTATGGCCTTCAAAGGGAGCCATATGCTCATACTTGGAGGCTTTGAAAATTACTCTATTTGGCAAAAGGATCTCTGCAGATATTAAGGATCTTGAAATTGGGAGATTATCTAGTTGAGGCCCTGAACTTAATCACAAGGATCCTTAGAAGAAACAGAGATCTGAATTARGGTATCAGATAACGTGGCCACTGAAGCAGTGGTGTTTTGAAGATGAAGGGGCAAAAGCCAACAAATGCAGCTCTAGATGCCAGGAAAGGCAAGAAACACTGTTCTTTCCTTGGGTTTGTRAAGGGTTTGTGGTCCTGTCAATACTCCAGTTTCATGAAATGACTTTAGACTTGTAACCTCCAGAATTGTTAATAAATGTGTACTAAGACGCCACATTTGTGGCAACTTGYTACAGAGGCCAAAGGAACCAACACCAGTGGTCCTTAGACCACTTTGAGGATTAAAGACTTTCAGATACAAGGCTTCAGGGGAATGAATGGCCCTCAACTCTAGCCACACATCAGAATCCCTGGAAGAAACTTTAAAACATATAAAGAGGGCTGGGGATACAGTTCAGTTGTAGCATGCTTGCCTTGCATGCACGAGGCCCAGGGTCCGATCCCAACAGCTCAGTCCTAGGAACTCATCAGCGGTGACTTCCAGATGGGAATAATCTGC